AAACAGACGGTGAATTCCGTTACACATTTCACTTGACGGTGGTGTTTTTGCCGTGAAACATTTTCAGCCCAACCCTGGCCCAAATTTGAAATTATTCTTTTGTTATTGAAGCATATATTTATTGATATTTATTATTTTTGTCTAAACACTGACATTATGCAGGTTCTTTGACTTGATTAAAATTGTGTGTGAATTAGTTGACTTTGAACGTATTGAAATTAATATTCCTGCATAATAAATTATTTTATTTAGAACTGTTAGTTCAATTTGCAGCCTTTTCTACTATTTCGCTCGGTAGTTACATTTTTACAATAGTAAAAACCCGAGACCCATACCCTTTACCTACACACCCGAGAAATTCGAACAAAAAATGACGGGAAAATTAAAGCCCATTCCTTTCACAAAAATACCGGGAATTCGCATGCACAGTCTTTCCCTCTAAGATAGCGACTTCGATTTCACACAGTCGGTCACGTAACTTGTCGTCATGCATGCGCATTACACATTTCCAGTCACGTGATTTCCGGTCACACCTGCGCACTCCTCCTTTCTGGTCCCTCATGGGTGACGTCACTTTCGGTATATGACGTCACAATGCGATGACGATACGAATATCCAACTCTGAATCCCCCACAAATACTAATTGAAATCACCTCTATACTACTCCTACTCAACGACGAGAAGATGGAAGTTGGGTTTCCAGCTGGATAATTTGTTTCATTAATATGCACAAACATTAAGTCTTGAAAATATATACAGATAAAATGTAAAAACATAGCAAATCTGAAGAGTAAAAATATAGATTTTACATGTCGGTGCATGCTGAATATTTGAAGCTCAATGCTTTGAGAAAATTAATTCTGTCAATTTCTCCTTTCTGCTATTTTCGGTATTGTTCAATCAAATACTTTTCTCTTTCTCACTTCTAAGTACAACAACTGATGTATTAAGCCCTCTTAGTTTGTTTTAAAACTATCGACATATTTAGTATGTATTATCTTTGTATTTGCCTGTATTACCTGTAAAAGGAATGCGCGCAAACGTAAAAAAAAATGTAATCCCCAAAATGGCGCAAAATTACTTTGAACATTCCTGGTGAAGATTAATCCAAAAAGCACTTCAGGCGCATACATTTATAAAGTGTTCTTTCCATATTTTAAAGCGGTTTTACAAAAATCGCAGAAATCTCAAAAGCAAAGTTCCGTAAAAAGAGATCAACAGTTAGGAAAACAAACAGTCTATGAAATAGCTCTTTTATAATATTTGGTCATAAGTTAATACGTGTATTTTTAAGATTACTCCCTTTCTGTAATCGAATATTTCTATACTTTGTATTGTATATGTCCTTTTTGGTCATATAGCTCCTAATGTTGCAGCATATTTACACATAGAAGGATTTCAAATGTTAAGGTTTGATCGTTTCTGGTGAAGGTAAATTCAGAAAAGCGTTTCGGACGCATGAAATTTTATAAGCTGTTTATTTTATGTTTATTTCATATTGTAATATGACTTCATATATATGATTTCCGTCAAAGTAGTTATCATATCGTTTTATTGATTGTATGATGTTTGCTTTATAAAACGTTAATTGGCAAACATTTCATACAAATTTGATATGAATGTTTAGATGCAACAACCGTAAAGTGGAAATTAAGTGAAATTTTCCATAAAAAATAACGATATGTAAACGCCTTTGTAATCAAAGAAAAAAATACATTATTTGAAAACTTAGACGTCACTGCAAACATGCGCATTTTGAACCGGCTTTTATATAAAGGTTCGACAAGAAGGAACCGACTGAACATTCTTGAAAGTTCATATTTAGAACAGGTAATGTGATCAATGTGATCATGTTGTCGTGAATCTTAGTATGACGATTATCATGAGAAATTCTTATATTAAGGTTCAAAAGAGACATTGATCCCTTTTGGTGTCTAATCTAGAAACGATAATTTGAGGTAGATAGATTTCAATTGTATATTAGAAATATGCTTTAAAAATTTGTATTATTAGATTGGAATATCTGCGAAGCTCTCAAAATATTTTCCCGTTTTGTATTATAATTATCGTAAGTCGAAGGTGTTAGGAATATAGTATCTTTAAAGTAAAACACAAGTATGAGAAATGAAATCATTTGATAAATCAAACACAGAAATTTTACAAATACTGTCACTGATGACAAGTTCCGGCTCCACTAATGGCACCTGTTAACACGGATGTCATTCGGTATATCGAGAAAAATGATCGTGAAAAAATAACTAACAGTGGTCAAGCATTGCTATCGGATCGTGAAAAAATCTGGTATCGTATCGTGAATGCAATAAAGTGTAATTCTACTTCAAAATCTGTGAAAAATCTGCTGTATTTTCAAAAGGTGGAACAAATCAGAAAAAAAATATGTCTGTCAAAATGATTCAACTTCAGTATTCAGCAATAGCTGTTGCTATTTTAGTAGTAGCCTGCAAATCTTGACCATGCTTTCATATTATATACCGACTTTTATTTTGTCCTTCAAGTCAACATGTCCTGTTGGAACCTAGACTTTTCAGGTTTTTGTTGTATTTTACCTTTACGTTATACGGTCTAGATCAATAAAGGTTGGGGTTTATGCGCTTGTAAAACTGGTTGAAGTCCACCACATTTTAAGTTAGCGAAAAGTTAAGGCTATCCGGACCATGTTTTATTCGTTGTTTTTTGTCCATTTCTCAAAACAATTTTAATTATGGTGTAAAATGCAATATGGTAAAAGAGGAGGAGTAAAAAACTGTTTTTTTTTTTTACTTATTTCATGTTATGAAATGTTATTATTTATTTTTTTTATTTTGTTGTTGTTTCTTTTCATTATCGTTTTTGTGAGTTACAGTCTTGTTAAATAATGAAGAAAACAATGAAAAAGAATTTTATGTTAAATAATTCATAGATGTATGTTAAATAAAACGTTACAAAAATGAAATTTAGTCACTTGCATTTCATTCAGTTGGTTCTAGCCAGTTAAATTAATACACAAGCCTTCTTGTTGGAGATCGAAATCATGCAATGTTAAATTTATTTTTGTCGAAATGCGCAGTAAAATTGGTACCGTTTATGTTTATACAACATATTATCAACGAAGGCTTATGAAAAACTTAAAGGAAGACAATATATTAATTACATCTTGGACAAAATAAACTAACAACACCGTGGCTAAAAAAGTAAAAAGACAAACAGACAAACAACAGTACGCAAAACACAGCATAGACAACCAAATACTGAGCAACACGTCGTGTTGCTCATGTAAGTACAAACCCGGTGACAAGTCTAATTCGGTAGGTCACATTCAGGGAAAACGGGACGGGATTGTAGTTTGGACAATTGGAACATATCCGTTGTGATCTGTGAAACAGATATTCCATAACGGTCAACCAACTCGTGATGGCGAATTCTTGGTTTAATAGCTTCCTTGTGAGCAGCAATCCCCTATCAAGGAAATCATGATAGGAAATACAAGCCCTGGAATATCGTATCAAATGGGAGATATATACTTCGTATGCGGGCGCTGCTGGAATGTTGCTACATATAAATGAAAAGTTCACAGTTGGGAAGCTGAAATCATCTCTTTTGTTGTAAAGTTTTGTTTACAACCGACCCTTATTGTTAATTTTCTAGATGTAAGTCAAGATATGAGACAGACTTAACTGTATCTGTTGTACCCTTTATCTCAAGTTCGATAGGATAGATGCGTTCAACATAGTCACCAAGTTTTGAATTATGTAGTGAGAGAACAATCATCTATATAGCGGAAAGAGAAGTTAAAATATACTGCTAACTTCTTTCTTTCTTCCTAAGAAGTTCCTAAATGAAATCAGCTTCATATGAATAAAGGAACAAGTTGGCAAGAAGAGGACTACAGTTGGTTCCCATGGACATGCCGATTGTTTGTTGAAAAACACGTCCTCCAAACTTTACAAATATGTTGTCAATCAAGAAATCAAGCATCTTGAAAATGTCAGTTTCAGAGAATCTTTTGTTTGAATCAGAGTGTTTTTTCACAAAGTACGATTTAGCCCTACCTAAGACATGATACTTGTATCTACGTTGGCCATTTCCTTTTTTATGAAACACAGCAGGACCAACTTAATTTAGCTTTAAGTTTGGAATGGGGAATACTTGTGTAAAGTGTAGAAAAGTCAAATGTTTTAATAATATTGCAAGATTAAAGAGCTTTAGATTGTATACACTCTAAAAGATCTCTGAAAATTTTTAGTATCCACATCTGATTCACGCCACCTCAAGAATAGGTACTTTCACAATAAATTTGAAGCCCGGCTTAAAAAGAGGTTTCGTGGAAAACTTGGAAGACCCAGCAGTATAACGTTGTTTGTAAGGACACTTATGTAGTTTAGGTATCCAGTACAGTGAAGGAAGATCTCCTCCTTGGTAAGTGTCGTGGGGGTATATGTTGAGTTTCCAAGTGAATTGTCAATATCTTATTCATTTATCAAGCAGTTTAGTAATGTGATTTACACACAAAAACGATGTTGTTTGGGACTTTATCTGCGGGGACAACAACATATTTGTCATGGAGGCAGGACAGGTGTTTTGCAACATTTGGGTCTTTAAAGATTGATCTTAGACCCATCCAGTTTTTTAATTTGTAAAAAAAGTGGCTATCAGCAAATTAAGTAACTAGTGTTCAAAAGACATTAGTCTCTCAGGTATCTATATTTATATTTAAAATTGTCATAGGTATTTGTCTTTGGGCCTCAAACGTAATGCATTTGATGCAAATCTGACAAAACTTCCAAATTATGAGCCAAAACTTTACCCCAAAAAATAGTCTGATTAAAGTCAAACCTCTCAGCGCTCCCGTTTTCTGATATGTCGCCCACGCGTGACATATAAATAAACGATAGCAAGTGAGAAGTTTGATCTTAATCAGACTGCCAAAAAGACATCTTTCTTGTGTTCAAAAGACATTAGTCTATCAGATATCTATATTTCTATTATAAATTGTCATATGTATTTGCCTTTGCGCCTCAAACTTTATGCATTTGATGCAAATCTGCTGAAGAACTAAATTGGCATATTTCACATATAGTCCCATCACAGAAACATTATCCCTCTGAAAAGTTTGGAAGACATGCTACGCTTAAATGACATATTTATCTCAATCTTGGTTATAAAAATGAAAGAAAATGAAACAAGCATTTGACGCGATTGATCATGTTTATGCCAAATATGACCGGGTTTACTGAAATATTCAAGATAATGTTTCTTGCTTTAACTTTGATAGCCTCTTTTTCACAAATTATGGTGATACAAGATAAAGTTTCACCCGATAAGTAGACAGTTGAAATTAATTCAATATGAATGTTAAAAGTAATCACGATGTAACAACATCCGTCCAGCAGTAAAATATCCTCGATATCTCAATATGAATCCTTATATTATTGCTGATTTCTTCAGTTTTACGTTATATTATTAATCCATCGACCTATACGATTAAAGGTATCATCAATTCTGTACACAGTACTACCGGATATTTGAATAAGGGGTGATAACCCTAGAGTTACTGCCATTATAATGGTAAATGTGAATTTTCTACTAAAAGTCTGCAACAAAAACGCATAAAGCCCTAAAAGTGCAATTATGCCAATCAGATTAGTAAAAAAAACGAATATCAACGCCTTCTTTCTCAACCTTTTCAATCCTAATATCCTGTCTTCGTTTGATAGTCCCTTTGATACGGACGATCCGACAACGTTGGAGACAAGTTCCTCCCAGAATTCAAATTCAGATTGGTTATAGTCACTCAAACTAACAGATGATGCACTCAAACTTCTAAGTGACGTTGTGTTAACTGAAAAAAAAACAAAGTTTGTTAAAATTTGACCAAAAATTTAACAAAATGAAAAGAAAAATGACGAAAAAATACAATAAACACCTGTCCAATAAAAATACATGCATGCAATAATATTCTCTTAACAAATGTTCGTAATCATTGTGAGATGACATCAGACCAAATAAAAATCCATAAAACATTTCTATTTTCTATTATTATATATATAAAAGATAGAGCGATTAAAACAGATAGTTTTTAAATAAATATGAATATATTTTGTTTCAGTATATTTTTTTTTAGTGCAACAAGATTTAAAATTCATTGTATTCACATTTAAAGCATCTTTCCACTCAATTAAATGGACAATTCAAATAGATTCCGGGCACCTAATATCGATTTAGATTTGGAAATTTTGTCTTCGTTCTTCAGTTTGAAATATAAAATTCAATTTCCATTGATTCGACATTCAATTGATATAATTCTTGTGTTTTCCTATCGCTCGAATGATTGATACTAGTGAGACTACAACGCCCAATAATTATACCCGAAAAGGCATGTTACTATCGTATACATGTATACATGTTGTTATGCAAATCGACTTCGAAGTTTGATGAAAATATAGTTTCGTCACTTTTCTACATTGTATAATGAATATGAAAGGTACACATTTGTATCTTTTTCTGTTCGACGGGACTAAAAACAAAGCAAAGCGATTGCACTACAAAAAAATCTAAATCGTAACAACATAGAGTTCTGATAGACAATTGTCATTTATATGGACACTGTTTCATTTAAAGTTATCATTTCTCAGTGCGGATTTATTTCCATATTCGCAAAAGTACAGAAGCTGTGTTCACATTCTCCGCAATATAATTATGAAAAACTTGAAAAGTCATTCTTTTCTGTTTTGATATCAGTTTTTGAAATGTATTTTCTGCTGTGTGTGGATTCTCTTTTATCACATGACTAAGAATGTGTACTCTGATTAGACTGATTTTTATCATCCTCACAACAGAATGGTTTTGTGATCTCCAGCACGAATTGACAAGTTTGTGTGGGTATTTTTCAAATTGCCATTAAGAAAACGAAAAAATTGTTTTTGAAGAAATAAAACTCGAAACGATTGTGTGGTATGAATAAACAGGTAAATGTCTGGTTTCGTGTCAAAACAAGAGAGATCAGGTACCTAGGAAGGATTCAAAAATCATTAATCCAATAAAAACGAACAATAATAATAACATGGCAAAAATTAAAAACGACCGAAGATCAAACAACAATAACAAAACATTACTGAAATACACGAACCCTACAAAAAACGGAGGGTGAACTGAGGTGCTGCTGTAACGTTCAATTCTAGCTCCATGGGATCGGTTATGAACGAAACTCAAATCTTCTGGTTATTTCGAAATTGTACAAGTGTACTTCACACTTATATCCGTCGGATGAAACCAGGCAAAGACATTAGTAACAAATCATTACAATGCCAAACATACATGTACAAAAAAAATATCTTAGATTAAATTTTAAATCTTTCTTGAACAAAATATTTCATTTTTCATATCCGTTTTTGCATGAGTGGGCAAATATACGGACTTGACAATATTCTACTTAATTTATGTTAATTGGACAAATCACTCCACGATGGATTGTTGTTTCGAAACGTGAAGTTGAACATCTCATCTTATTCAAGATGAGGGACAGACATTTGGCAATGCAGCAGGTCAACTACAGACCCCTCAAAGTAGTTGCAAGGGTTAATGTGTTGAGAGTGTGGTGTACTCCGTATACGAGGCATCTGATTTATTTATGTGTTTCTCTGTCCTGAGTGTTCTTGCGTTTATTTGTACTGTATTCCTGTCACATAATGTTGTCATTTTAGCGGTATTTATAACATTGCAATATAAGCGAGAGGTTTGGCTAGCCATAAAACCAGGTTCAACCCACCATTTTTTCTTAAAATGTCCTGTGCCAAGTCAGGAATATGGCAGTTGTAATCAAATAGTCCGTTTCTATATATGTTGGCGTTTGTTTTTGTTGCAGTTCAGTGTTTCTGTTGTTCCGTTGTTTTCCTCTTATAGTTGATGTGTTTGACTCGGTTTTGGTTTGTGACCCGGATTTGTTTTTCGCTTAATCGATTGATGACTATTGAACAGCGGTATACTACTGTTGCCTTTATTTAACGTTCTCATTCCGACTAGACGTAGATGAGTATTTATTATACATCACACTGGGTCAAACAGACACCCCAATTAGCCAGGGATGACAATATTTCTATACCACAGACAACCCTTCGGGTAATCACTGCACCAAGAAGTTTCTATTTTTAATGAATTGTTTTTCTAGAAATTCCATGTCGAGTATACGTATATCTTCTAATGCAGAATCAATCTAAAACAAATCCGCTTTTGGCTATTGGATTAGTTTAACCCTACCACGTGCCATCGTAGATTAATAATGACTAAATGTTAACTTCTAGTTCATCCTTAAGTCTCATTTTGTTATACAAATAAAATATAGAAGGTAAACGTTAACATAAAGCAAAGCAACAATACGAGTTAACGAATAGACTATTTCATGTACGCTTTGACAATTTTTGTATTATAATTTACGTTTGAAGATGTAAAACACAAGTACCTTGTTGCAATTTCCGTCGTTTCTTCATTCTCCGTTTAATTTTCGGTAAGTGAAGAAATTTTGGTACAGTGGCAGTTTGCTAAAACATAAAAATTGATAAGCGTATACATATATTATCATATGTGTTACTATAGAAGTATTCAACAACCCTATTCCTATGTCTTTGTATTGAAATCTTACTTTAAATTGTGTAATAATTTTTGTGTTATTAAAGATGATTGAAATAAAAATCTTTTTGAAAATGGTATCAAATCAATGAAACTCATGGAAGGATTTACAAATATAATCAGACTTAAACATCTTGAAATTTTGTTTTATGTATCAGCATTTACTTACATTATCACGTGTTCCCCATGATTGATCCACAATATTACAGATAGCGTAGAGAGGTAGTATCATATTCATAAATGGAATAAAGAACAAATAGACGACACCCGCTATCAATATCCATATATCTGTTGGGTATAGCATAGCTCCATAGATGTAACTACCAAGTATAAGCATAAATAAAAAACCTTCTGCGTGCTCGAAATGTCCAACTTGGAAGCCTAGTTTGTAGAAGTATAAAAATTGATAGAATATACTGCAGAATGATATATACTGATATATACGTTAACAGATGAAAATAAATATACTGATTATTTAAATATACTACTATATATAGTATACATTGGTTTGCAATTATCTTCATGTTTATGGTCTGTAAAATTCCATATACATAGCACATGTTCATACGCTATTCATTCGAGAATTCATCAGTCCGTCATGTCTTTTAATGTGTATGTCTTTTAGGAAGTTTGATATTGATAGCAGATCTTTGGCAGTCCCTGTTAAATTTATCGTAGCGGATTTACAGCTTAACATAAGACAGAGACAATAGTTAAAAACCCTATTACGGAAAAAAAACATGATGTTGTTTTGTTTCTATTATTCACCTTCCGATGTCTTTTGAGATATTTGTTTTGTTCGCTTGCTGCTCTGGTGGCGTGTACCCACATCTGGTATTCATAAATTGACGAACTACATTTTATTAGCAATGCTGTGTTTATTTTAAGGGAAAACAAAGGTACATAGTACTTTGGTATTGATTGGCTAATACAGTTTCAAAATCTCAAACTTATTATAACTTTCAGGTAAAATTATAATAACCATGGAACCACTTTTACCTTATACTAGATAATATTTGCGATTTAAGATAATTAGAGGGTTTTTAGCGCCCCTCGTTGTAGGCTGTTGTAAGCCGTTATTCAGCTTTCAAACTGTGTACAATAGATATTAGTTAAGAAAATATTTTGCAGTCATGGTCGATGTCAGCAAACCGGTCCTATCATGTGCTGACAAACTTTTGTTCATTTCTAAAATCATGTCTGATGCAAGACATAATTCAGAAAGACTATCATAATCTTATTTGTATTTTATTTTCCATTTCCCTCTTATAGAAAAACAAAGGATATTGGGTATCCATCCATGACACAAAATCGGTACAAGCACAGCAAAAAAAAAGAAGAAAAAAACACACACAAAAAGCAAACAGAGCGGAATTCTTTGCAAAAATAATTTGGATAGATTTTGTAAGATGTTGTAACACCACCTAATCGGGCCCGATAATTACAGAAAATAATGGAAAATAGTACATATTTAAAACAAAATAGTTCCTACGCATAGGTGTAGATCTGAAACTATGTAGCATATATTTTAGTAATTAAGGTATGATTTGAAAGGTGAAGGACTGGTGATCCTTGTAGAAAGCACAATTTACTGATTATTTTCAATAATAAATTATGAAAGAATTCTAAAAATGAGGGCATATATAGCCTGTTTCTCAGATATGAAGTGCCTGGTTTGATGTATATAAATTCCGGTAACCAGTGCAGTACGGTCTGATGTATAAATACAGATATATTGATCCCGCTTCCATCAAATGTTTTGAAGTGAAAAAATTAATGTGGATAGGAATGAGGACCAAGAATAGGTGGTGTGTGTCTATTAAAATTTTAGTATACAAATTGTCCTAAAATTGAGAGAATGATGTGGCACGCATAAGAGAAGTTATCTCAAGAATAAATACACCATAACTTTAAAAATACAGAAGAGCATACATATCAAGCACGGGGAAACTTTCTACGGCCTTCTTAATGTTTATTAACAAACTACGAAAGTGTAATTTTCATTGTATGCAAGTTAAACAATGTTATGCTATATTTTGTGTACCTACCTTTTGCCAAGTCTTTAAAAATAATAACAGTAGAAATTACAAATATGTAGACTGTTCCTGCTCCTAAGACCATGATCAACATCTTTGTGATAATCAACTGTACTGTTGGAACGACTTCATTGAGTAACATCAAGCAGTAGGCAACAACTATGGCAACTATCACAGGAGTTACAACGATGAGAGGTGCACCAGTCGCCAATTCCAAACCGAGACTCATCATTACGATTGTAGACCCAGGATATAAAAGCATTATGAGAAATAGTTCCAACAAATATAGGGCATAAAGAACAGAAAATGCATCATTTGTGGATAGCAAGGCTCTGAGTTTCCGAATAACCAATATGGCGTTTGCATAATCTGACAGTAACCATCTACGACGTTGCTTCATGAACTCATACGTATCTTCTGGGCAGAACGTAGTATTCCTAGCATTACTAGAATATCTTAATTTCCATCCTTTCAACATCAATAACGTACACATCCATCTATCTTCACCTGAAATAATAAATTGAATATGCCAAAACAAATTAAACCGCGTCAATGTTTATTTGTCTCTTTTAATACAAAATCTTTTTTTTTTCTTTATGGATTTACGGACATTTATATAGGGGACTAATTTTGAAGAAAATTGAAATGTTGAATATTGCAAATATGTCGTCAAAATATTTTACAGTTTTTATACCGTTGTCTTTTGTAAAAATATCTGTCATGTTTTCTACTGGTCCCGAATATTCGTCAACAATCTCTCTAACAGCATTCAGTTTATACATACTAAAACATCCTGGACAACACATAACTGAGCCAATAATGTTCTGCGAACTTTTAATTGTCCAGAAATCTAAAAGTACAATATTTCGAAATTAAAATATCAGAATAGGATACCGGAATAATGTAAGTGCAGTGCACTAATAAGAAAGGAAATTGCTCAAAACAAAATATGATAGTGCATATGCCTACAATTACCATTTATTTTTAAATAAATTTGTGTTTATCATTTACTAAGCGAAACTACAAACCAAAGTTGAAGACATAGTTCACAGCCCGGAGTGGGCTGCACTTTGTCTTCATCCGAGACTACTATTTCGCATAGTCAATGCTAAATACAACAGTATGATTATACTGATGGTCAATATTTATAAAACACGTGTAAAATCTCAGAATATTCATTATTTGAACTATTGCTTGAACCCAAGAACAAAATTGTGAAATTGTTAAAAGGATACATACGATATTTTATTCTAGGCAAACGACAATGGTTTATTCTTTACTTCGAATTGTACTGCCATTATTCCGACAACAATTGCGCTAAGCTTCGCCAACTAATGTGAACAACTATTGATTGACTTCTTGAATCAACATTTTGCCATATGAATTATGAAAAACAAAATTGACAATCATGTACAACTTTTTTGAGGTAAAGGTTATGAACTACTAGTTTGCTTTCGTTTCCTATCATGATTTTATTGGTGCAGGGTTGCTACATGGAAGCTATATAAATTAGTGTTTCCAATGGTAACGTTGAAGTTATTCCTTTAAAAAAAGCCATCATGATTTGACTGACCGTTATAAAATATATATATCAAAGATTACCACGGTTATGTTCCAATTGTCGTAGGCATAATTACAAGAAAATTAACAAAGATGCTCAAAGTTTACTGTGCAAACACACCCTATTGTTTATCTAGTTGAACCTCAAGAATTATTTAAATTGAGGCAACTTGAACCACCATTCGTTTATCTTTAAAACGTTTTATATATAATAATAATAGTACTGGACATATATTTTTAAAAGGAAACATGTATAAGCATTACTTTACGATTAACGAAGTGAATATATTAGAATTCACGTAATGACGTCAGCTTATTATTATAATTTCATTGATATATTTAATTCATCTATTAACTTAGTTTTGAAATTCGAGAAGTATATTTCGAATTATATTAAAAATCAAACATAGAAACTAAGATAGATGATTTTGAAAAAAATAAAATCTATTACACAATGTCAACAGTCCGGTTATTTCCTTCTGTCTGAGAGACCAAAGACGTGAATGTTAGAAACTATAGGTTACCCTACGGATCTTAACAATGCGCAATTGATTTTTTTTAACATTTTCTTGAAATTACCAATATATGACATTTTTTTAAACTTTTGTTTCAGTTTTGTCCAAAAAAAGGCGAAATCTAGAACAAGTACCCTATATATAGGTTGCTGTCTTGTATTAATCATATAAGATATAGATAACACTTTATACATAGTGTGCGTCCGAACCAACAACAACCACTGAATTACTGATTCCTGGTTTTAGATAGACACAGAATGTGACATTTTTTAACATGTTTGTGAGGACCCAACCATCTTAGAACTTAGGACAGTGGTGTTACAGCACACCATAAGAACAATCTGCACAAATCAGTTGAAGGGCTTGCATGAATCATGATCGACAGACAGAACAAAAAAAAACCTCATAAAAAGTCAAAAGACAAAAGACATAAATATGATAGACAGCACCTAACGACTAACACTGAATTACAAGCTCCTAAAATACAGGCACATACAGAATGTGACAGGATTAGACTTGTTCACTTTACGGGATCACTGACAATACTAATAAAACTAAGGTAAACATATTCATTTTGATACACAAAATATTTACCTTTAGCATAGTCGAACATCTGTAGCCAAACAATAGGGTGAATATGAACACCTTTTGGGCGTGTTCTACCACAGACCGCTCCAATCTTCGGGTCAGATTCACACACGTGTAGAACATCCATGATACTTGTATCCACAAAGGTTATGTCTGCATCTGTTGCCAGAATATAATCGTCACAATCAAATTCAAACTCTTCATGATATATTTGTTGTGAATCTGTTATGGTGTATATACTGTTTGATAATCCATTTTTAACCGAAAGCTTTTCAATTGAGCCCGTATCGCCTATAAATATTTCGACGTAGGGCACGGTTATCGTCTCTGTTTCAACACTGGTAATCTCAGATTCATTACCTTTTATCAGCGACTTGGATTTGTTGTCAGGAACTGTCAAATTATTTTGAGTGGCTTTGCGTTTCTCATTAGACGAATACATTGATTCTACAGAAAGCAAACTTGCGTAGGAGCAATTTTTCGACATATTTTCAGATGACTTCCGAAAATTAGACGAACGATAGTTCAAAACATACTTCATATACATTACTTGACTCCAGCGTTTTTTTGCATTGACCTTAGATACATCTTTCAAGTGAACAAATAACGGCATTTCATTGTCAATCTTCCATGAAAGCTGTATTCCGTATGGTGTATATAACATAACCCCTTGATCTCTATCTGTAAGTAAATTTTCTTCAATTAAGCCCAGTAACTGAAGACCAAACTGCTTAATATTTTGTCCATCAGCACCATTATCTAAGAATATGTGGGATTCTAAAACGACGTTTTCTCTTTTCAAAAGCTTTGAAACCGAAACATTTCTTATACTAGCCAGTAATCTGTCCATTTCTATTTGTGATTCCTGATACATTGTAGTACATATAAATACTCGTCTGTCATTTCTTTTATTGTTACCTGGTATGTTAAATGATGTTGCTTTTATTGTATTATAGGTCCTACTTAATAAATGCTGTGTTGTCAAAACGGCTTCATACATACTAAACTCGTTAGACAGTATAATTCTGTCATTCAATATATCTAGCAATATCGGTAGAAAAAGTAGTCCCGCTACAGTTCCGTACAGTGCAATATTGTCTGCACTTACTTTGATTTCTTTAGAAAATGGACCTATAGTACTAGCCCATGAAATGTGGGATATATCTATCACTGACGAAAACGTTAACACCAGTATAGATGACATTATAATTGACGACAAATATATGGGCAAATGAACAACATATCTTGCAACTTTAGTTCTGGCATTGAAATACTTAATACACTGACACAGAAATGAAGTCAGCAAGATCGAAACACAGAGACAAAGATTTTTTGTATTCGGCAAATACAAAGTCTCGAAAAATGACTTTAATGATATCAATTCATTCGTACTTGATTTTCGTTGTAAAAAGTAAACAGCAAACACACAAGTTAGCATCTTCAAAATAATATATAGTAAAGCGGAGTTCTGAGTCCCTCTGTCTACTGTTGTATGTATAAATTTTTGATATTTAAGAGTAATAATTATTGATATTGTGACCAGGAAGAAAAATGTTAATCCAGATTCTGTTGCCGTCATTCTGTCTGTAGTCACCAGCAGTACAAAACAAGCAATTATGCAGCTTAGAAAAACTAATACCAATAGTGTGTGTATGAAACGAGTAGTTTTTGTGTTGTTCTTCTGAAACAAAAACAAAAAGACCTATGTATATGAAGTATAATTATAATAACATAATTAATACCATATCCCTTTAACAATAATGTTAACTGCTGCAAAGCAGACTGCTGATTTTTTTATTAGTTCTCGCTTTTAATAATTGCGAGTACTCTGAGATCGGTACTTTGTGTCTTAAGTCGTTTTCTTATTTGTTGTGTGTGCTTTGTGTCAATCTGATGAGTCAAATATTTTTTAACTGATTTGCATAGTTCTCATATTGTTGTTACAGCACTGTCCTAGGTTAGGGAAGGAATGGGACCCGCAAACATGATTAATCATAAATATTCTGTATTTACCTGTCCCAAGTCAGAAGCCTGTCATTCAGTGGTGGTCGCTAGTTGCTGTATATCATATTTCTTTTTCTTTTATTGTTTTGAACATAAATCAGGCCGTGAGTTTATACGTTTGAATTGTTTAACATTTGTCATGTCGGGGTCGTTTAAAGCTTTCTATGCGGTATGGGTTTTGCTCGTTGTGAAGGCTGTATGATTATCTATAGTTACTAACTTCTACGTCATTATGTCTCTGATGGACAGTTGTCGCAATATTGGTGTTTCTTTACTATTGGACTTTCTGTGTGCTTTTGTGTTTACTGTTGTTTGCCTGTTTGTTTCGAAACGATCATTGTTGTAAATGTGATTTTTACTTTCAACTGTGTTATGCGAAAGAAAGAGAAATTCCGTATAACATCAAAAGATTTAAAAATAATTAACAACATTGTATGGCCTTCAATAATGAGCAGCTATTGCCATTCATGGTGGGTCAGATTTAGCATCATGTTAGTGTGGACTAGTTTACTGTTTTTAAACCTCGATGTTAGTACTTTCCTTTACAATTACTAGGCAAATAATCGTAGGATTAAAGCGTATATTGATCGGTTAACATGTTTCTTAAAAAAAATAATAAGCATATGAAATTAAGGAGATATCTCAATGAGACAACAAACAACCAACCAACGACACATAAGACAAAATAACTTTATACTTGGGAATGGCATATAAATATGTGGCAATTTTTAACTAGATTATTGAATTCTCGACCCTCTTCTTTTTTTTATCTCGATCATTGGAAAAACGTGGAATAAAAAAAAAAGATACACTATAGAAATTAAAAGAAATTATCTGAGTGTATATGAAAAGCACTTAACTTGGTAAAATGGTATGGTATATAGTATATGTTATTTTCAATTAAAGGTTTCTTCGAACCAGACATCTTAGTAACTATAGTGTTTAGATATGTCTGTACAATTGTCCACCCTTTTAAATTTGTATTTTTCCAACATTAATTTGAGCTTATATTTATCATAAGGTCAGTTTGTTTAGACTTTGTCTGACCCTTGAAATTTGAGTTTTGACAACTGCAACATTCGTAACTGCAACATTTTAATTGTAAGTTTGAACTTTGTAGTATTTTGTGTCATTTAGAATACGTAATCGATGATATCTGTGTGTGTTAATATCGTAAAAATTTTCGTAGAACTTATAAATGGTTTTCACATCAAACAAACATGTATCTATAAAGATATTGACATGTTTTTATCTTAAATTTGAGATTTAAACCGATACAGTTTACAGAATTTGGAGATTAATATACTCTTAAATAAAAAAACAATAACACAAGAATTAATGAAAGATGACTAAAAAACACAAAACAGAAGGCACAAAAGCTATGTTCACATAAATGGAGAATGTGTCCATGGGACACAGATGATACCCCCGCTTGCATATAACGTTATAAATGGGCATTACTCCAGAACGGCAAAAGTTACGCTACCCAAATTCGAACTTGATCTGAGTTTTGTGGTAAGAAGCATTGTGTATAAGCTTCATAACATTTGGTTGAGGCAAACTAAAGTGAGAGAACGGAAACCAATTTCGGGACGTACGTACGGATGGACGGACGGACAAGGGTAAACCTTAATGCCCCCACCGCTACAGCGAGGGCATACAAAAATACATAACAATAAAATGAATCGTATGCTTTAAAAAAAATTATTCACTTACCATTCCAGTTGAAAACAAGGAAAAAATCATCCCTGAGTGTAACACACCTAATAACAGAAATCCTGGTATTTTCCACAGATAACTCCAAACTAAACTAGTCAACATATAACTCTCAGCAACGGAAGATATGACACCCTTAAAAAGATACAATTTTTGAAATATATGGTCACCTTATAAATATCATAGATACATAATAGTTTACTTCCACAATAATGTTAAAATAAAGAATAAAATTGCAGTTTCGAGAAATAAATGCGTATAAGTATAACCAAATTAAAATAGAAATAATTTTAAGTTCCTAAAATACCTATTTTTTAATTATAACAAGTTTATCTTATTAAATGAATTTTAAAAACATCATTCTAGATTTGTATACTAGTACTCCGTTTTTAATGTGTCCTTGTATGATAAGACATTTCTAAGGCAAGAGAAAATTGCTGTTATTCAATCAATATTACACTGCTATGCAAATTTATTATTGAGCTGTCACGATGTAAATTAACCTGAGACTTATAACTTTTAATGATACATATTTTTTTTTCTTCCATCTTTAAAAAATATAACGATACATGTTAAAGTATATGTTTTCAAAACTCCGGGCCACGAATTCACAAAAAAGTTCAGATAACTATTTTTATACGCCCGTTTACGGGACGTATTATGGTAAACCGTTGTCCGTTCGTCCGTCTGTCCGTCTGTCAGTCGTCAACATGTCGGACAATTACTTAAAAACGCTTCAACCAATTTTCATGAAACTTTGATGTATTGTTTATATCTATTAACGTTAGCTCTATTTTACGTTTCCGAGTTATGGGATTTTATTCATAAAAAAGGGGGGATTTTCCAGTTTTTGGACAATAACTCAAAAATGCTTTGAGCAGTTTTCATGAAACTTTGGTGACTGGTTTATATCTATTAAAATAAGCTCCCTATATTTTTTTTATAAATTTCTGATATGACATTGAGGAGTAATGGAACTTTATTCGTTGAAAAAGCGACTGGCGTATCATGCGCTCATGGCGCAGCTCTTTATATTAATATGATAGAGCGCCAATTTAATCCATGAATTTCATTGCCTTTAAATTGTGAAAAGTTTTGGAAAACATGTATTTGCCACTGGTCGCCAAGCAAATAAGAGCTTATTCCTTATTAGAGATTTCCAATAAAATGACATACGTACGTAACTCGACGTACGGACATAATGGGACGGGTTATTGCCAACCATCGAATTTGATTAAATACGACGCTTAAGTTCAAACAAAGTATTCCTAGACTTATAAGATCACACACTGGAATTTTCGACCATATAAAAAAAATTTGTCATGACGAAAAATGATAGAAATATTGCATTTTTCTTTATCACGTGGTTTTCCAGATTCCCGCCTTTATTTTACTGACATAAGATCGCGTATTAACACACGTATCCCATACCTATCATACGTACGATTCGAGTTATCTTTCATGGTTTTGATTATGACAATTATTTTTCAATATACTTTGCAGATGAACGCCTCATTATACTTTTTTTCTGTCTTACTTTATAGTTTATCTATCTTTTTATTATATTTGTTGCGGGGAAAATATTAATAAGGATATGTTTCTGACAATTTCAGAAATATCGGATGCAGAATTTGTCAGTCTCTTTATAAAGGTTAAAAATTCAGATAAAACTATCGCTTCCATTTAGTTTATAAACAAAAGTATTTTTCATTTATTATAAAATGTATTGATAAAGAAATCCCTATATATGTTGTTATTTTTAGAATTAAGGTGTGTTCGATTAGGGATAGTTCTGTATTAATTTGTTTAACAGGAATGCTATCGGAGTCCAAATACAAAAGATATTTCCAGGGAATATATTTGATATCCCTTGAAGTGAACTATATTAGAGTATTTTATCCATTTTATTGATAAACAACTAAAAGGGGATCACTGAATTCATTTTAATGAATAAATCATTAACGGAAATGTGTAAGGTAAGTAACATTGAACAACATAATATAATACGATTTTGTTGCCAGATGCGGATCCAGGATGCAATTTAAAATGAACAAGGTAGATACAAATATCTTTTTTAAGTAACAGACAAAGTATAACTCGCAAAAATCTGATCCAAACAAGAGGTCATACCCGTGAAACTGATATGATCCTTGTTCTTTTTTTTTGACAACGAACTTGTTACTTTTGGTGGGCAAAGTTTTCAACAGACACTTGGCATTCCTACATTTTATGTAGTACTCTT